ACGATCCCTGAATAGCTTGGATCACACTAGGAAATGAAAAGAAGTCCTATCCAGTAAAGCAATGGTGCCAAAACAGCAATAGGAGGGGGAAACCCATGGCAATTAACAGCTTCAAGAATGGTGAACATTTGTGCATTTGTGCCATTTGCGCATTGTACCATGAAAGTTTGGCTCAAAAGACTGTAAACAGAATTTCTGTCAATTAAGCACCTTTACAGCTCTACATGGACCAACTCACAAAAAGTGCTACCAGCTCATCCATGTGTCAGCAGGCAGCTTTAACAGAAGGTTCTGAAAGATAACTTTCTGAAGGGAACTGCTACCTTTCCCAAAGTATATGGCTAACTGCAAAGGTGGTCTTCATTCCGACCTCCTAATGTGGGCTAGCACTGAAAAATCTCAGGGTTTAGGTTGAAAAGGAGGAGGGAAAGCAGTGCCGGTAACCGATTGTCAGGGATCCTGCCCAGAACATGTGTAAAAGTAAGTCCCCTGACCCAGCCTGGCCTCACAGCAATAAAACCTCATGACAAAATCAGCAGTTGGGAAGTAATGAGCTGCAATCTAAAACTGTACAGGAAGCTTGGCTTGTCCTAAGACTGGCTTTCAACTTGTCTTGTGACCTTACAGATCAGATCACTTGACCTCAGTGCTTTTGATTTATCTTCTATCGTGGGACAAGCATTTTAATTTGCAAAATGTGTCCATTCTCTCTAGGTTTACTCAAGCTAGGAAGCTCTTTGAGTCAAACCATCTGTCCCTATAGAACAGGAACCCTTTTCCACCTGGTCTGCTTGCCCCAGATGTGCTGCTGTTGGGAACCTGGGTTTCCCCTCCACTTTCCCACAGCACTGTAGTTCATTCGCCTACCTCCTAGGTTTTCCACAGCCTTTCTTCATCTTTCCTAAAATTGCTTTGCTGTGATGCTTTCAGAAAGATCTCAGCAAAGTCTGGAAGGCTGCTGTGAGGCCAGGAAGGTCCAGATTTTCTCAGGCCCACCCATCCAGCAGCCAGGTCCCCTGCCCTAGTCCTTGAGGTGCCCATTCCCACCACCTGAATGTTGCAGGGAACTTTTTAGAGGATTTTTAAAAACCACATATCAACATAAGGATATATCAATATGTCAATTCCTAGTTTAAAAATTCTTGAAAAGCCCCTCCCCCTCAAGTAGTGGGGGGGAGGGGGACAACCACCATGGGGATTGGATAGGGATGGCAGCTCTGGATTGGGAAATTCCTGAAGACTTTGGGAGGGGGGTGGTGGAGCCTGGGGAGGGATCTTAGCAGGGTATAATGCCATAGAGAACAGCTTCCAAAACAGCTATTTCCTCCAGGGGAGCTGATCTCTATGGTCTGGAGACCAGCTGTAATTCCAGGGGATCCTCCAGTCACCACCTGCAGGTTGGCAAACCCAGGACCGGGGGAATGTGGGGGGAACCTGCCATCTGGAAGCCCTGGTGCTTCTGTGCTGCACTGGAACACACAGCAACAATGGGGAATCTACAGGAAAGGGCCGCCATGTGTAACTCTCCCAGGTCTCCTAACTCCCGATGATGGAGGATATACTGTAGTTTTAAGAGTGTACCACGCACTGATCACGGTCTCATTTCAACCTCTAAAATGAAAATACTAGTTTTCTTTTCTGCTGTCACACCTTGGTAAGACATCCGATGGACATCTGGAAAGCAATTGAAACCTATGGATGAACTCTATGGTCTGTGAGTGGGAAGCCACAAACTAACTAAATGACCTCAGGCAAGCCACAGCCCCTCAGCCCCTCCCCCCTAATAATTAACTATGATTCCAAGATGACAGAGTGCTGATGTCACAGCCCCTCTGACTGGTGCCTTCCTATAAGGCCCTGCTCTGCCTTGCCTCCTTTCTTTTTTCAAAATAACCTCAGGACAGGAGACCAGAGAGAGGGCCAGCATAACACCAGCCCAGTTTTAACAGTTCAACTGAGGGCCTAAACAGACTTGAAAGAAATCACAGATTTCTATCAGTCAGTTAAAGGTAAGTTGCACACACAGCAGAAATTCAAATTGGTGTTGCTTGGGAAGGGAAGGGGGGGGGGTTTAAGCCCCCTTCAACTTGATTTCAGGAACTGAAATCAGATTTCCTGCACTAGCAGTTTTAAAGGGTAGAAATGACAAGTTTGTAAAACCCAGAACAAAAAATGCCAGCAACACCAGGTCCAAAGGTTATGACTGGAAAAATCTGCTTTTTTTGTCTCCCCTTTTTTTTAATTTTGTAACATGTAGCCTGATTAAGAGTTCCAGTGAGCTCAAAAAGCTTGCATTGTGTTTTGTGTCACTTTGGTCGAGTCCTAATAAAAGGTATTACAAAAATTTTATGCATTTTTTGTTCTTTTAAAAGAACCTGTCTGTTCCCCTTTAAAACTGCTAATAATAGCATGTTTTGAATATAGCAAAACTGAGCAGATGTCCAAGGGTTACAGTACCTCTTCCCTTCCTAGATGGCCCCAATCCCTTTAAAGGCTGATGGAATCCTATGATATCTGTTTTAGTCATGGACAACACTGTTTCTAGCCCCTTCTTATTTTATTTGCATCCCACTTTTCCCAAAGAAGTTATCCAAAGTGGCTTGCATCAACACCATAAAAATCATAAATACGACAAGAGTCAGTAACCATCACCATTAAAACAAATGGGAAAAAATTAAGAAGCAGAAAATTGATGAGTCAATAGTATAACAACAGAAGCAAACAAAAACAGACCACAATCAGAGCACTTTAACCAAAGGCAGCAGGGGAGGTTTAGAAGGGCAGACTGAAAGCGGGCAAGTTGAAAGGAAACCTCAAAAACCTGGGGCCTGAAAGTCAACCAAGAAGGTGCTTAAGCGACCTTCTTGGGGTGGGAGTTCCAGAGGTAACAGTGCCACAACTGAAGAGGTCCTGTGTTTGCTCACTATCCCTCTCACGAACACCCAAAGAAGGTTCTCTGATGATGACAGGCACTTTCATATTGGAAGAGGCAGTCCTTCCCACCTTGCTAAGGCCAGGTAGGTTTCTGTCAGCAAACGTAATTCTCCTTTGCCTTAGCTACATTTGAAAAGGCCCAAACAGGGACTTCCCTTCATTTACAGAGATGAACCGTTAATGGCTGAGCACTCCAGCCACAGGTTACCTCCAAACGTACACCAAGCCTCTCTCACACATCTACACACACAGATACAGCATACTCTACAAATGTACTAACAAACCTTTTATTACGTCAAGAACTGTGATAAACCAAGGAAGCGCTGCATCATACTGACCATCAGTTCACCGAGCCTGAAATTGCTCTACTAACATCATCTCTTCAAGGCCTCAGCTAATGAGCTTTCCAGCATCCTTTTTGAATTAGTGTTGCTGGAGAGTGAAACTGAGACCTTACACACCTAAAGCATGTGCTCTACCACTGATTAAGGCCCCTTCTCTTAAACACCCAGCAGGAGTCCTTGAGGTCCAGCTACTATAGCCATAATGTTGCTAACAATAAGCACACAGGTTTCCTAACAACCTCAGCCTCAACTACCCTGTAAGGGCCATTCAGAACATTTTGTAGTGTATGACTTCGAGCAATGGCTATCTGAGGGGGGTTTTTTTTGTTTTTTTAAATGGGTTGGAAGAGTCTTTCTTCCCATGTGCTCTTCTGGACTGCCTAATGAAGGACTGCAGTCTCTTGCAATTTTGCTGAATGTCCTACTGCTTTTTTCCATGTCTGTATAATGCTCCAGCTAGGAAAACTCTGAATGTTTATAGCATGCCTGACAATGAAGAAAAAGTTTGAGGGCACAACTGCAGTGTGAGCCATTAAGGTTTAGACAACAAAAGAAAACAACTACCTCATTATTTTTTAATGTTTGCCTCCTGAATTTTTTTAACCAGTGCTTAATTCCACATAATCTGATCATTATTTTTTAAACAGACAAAAAAATCCCTTAATTAAACCACACATTATGTTAATTGAGACTACTTTGTATTAAGGGCTCATGCAAAAAGCATTTTTGTTCATCTGAACATTTGCTTATTTCTCCTATATGATTCAGATTAGGCTGAACTATATTTGGTGACATCGAATGATGTGGTCTTTCTATGATATATAGGGATCAGAGAAATGCGTAACTGGTTTTTCAGATATGTTTTACTTGGGCCACTCCAGAGCTCTACCTCTTTGACAAGAACATCTGTAATTAAAGCACCCGGCATGAGGCTACCGTAATCTACTGTTAGGGTGCTACGAAAGCCAGGCACTGTTGTGTTTAAAATAATGCAAAAACTGGCAAGCACTGAGTGGGAGTTTGTTATTGTTGCTGCTCATTATGTCTGATCTGGAAGCCAGAGCAGCAATTTGGGATTTCCTTTCTTGCCTGAGCAGATGTGCTTGCAGCAGAAGAGATGCACCCTTGTCTGGTGAGCTCCAGAACTAGTCAGTCATTCCTTTGCAAATGTTTTGACTCCAAGGATGATTTCAGGATAGAAAGTGATGCTTCCCTGGGCTGCGATAAACACAGTCAGACAAAATGCCTTCCCATAACATTAGATGATGCCATTATTCACCAATCAGAGCTGGAGGTTCGTGTTGCCTGTTCACCAATGAGGAGCCAGGCAGAACTCAAAAGAGGACCCAGCCATTTGGAACTAAAAATAAAGTATCTCGCCGCTGGTTGTTTTCACTGTGGGACAGGAGTTTGATCAGGACATTAAGGGAAGTGCTTTTATCATTCTTTTTAAAATTGGAATGGGGGGGCAGCTCTGGGAAGCAGCTCCCCCCCCCAAGTGTCTGTGTGACAAGGCAGCCAACGAGGTGCTTATGGCAGGCAGCTGTAGTGAGACTCCTCAACATAAACAGACATCTTTGAATAATTCAGTGTGTGCAAGTAAGCATGAAAAGAGCTAAAGCTTTGGAAAACACCATATGCTGATCTTTCTCTCTTTCTCTTAAAAAAAAAAAAAGGACCCGATCTGGCTCTCTGAAGGTTTTGGATCAGAGAAGTCCTTACCTGTCCCGCAGTGTCATACAGCCCAAGGAGATACTGCTTGCCACCAACAGTCACGCTGACTATAAAACAAAGCAGAGAGAAAATGAAGCCAGGCACCCCAACACAAGCTCTCCTTCTCTCTCTCTCTCTCTCTCTCTTGCTCACTCTCTTTCCCTCCACCAAGAAGCAGCAGCAGGAGTGGTTTCAATTACTCAACAACAATAATAAAACAACACAGACATCTAAGGAAGGGGGGGTATAGAGTGAAACAGCTGCCTGCCTCTGTGCAAAATAGTTTTCCCCAAGCACTTTTGGGGACAGAATGTCTGTCAATGCAGTGGATGCAACAAAAGATGACCCCCGTGTGAGTGTGCACGTCGCACAATTTGGGATATATATCTAGTCAGCCCGGGTTTCCCGTCCTCTCCCAGCCATATCAGAACACCCCCCACCCCCCAATACAAATGCATGGACTGACAGGGGCTCCAATCCAGTCCTTTCTGGCAACTTTGGTTTTTGCAAAAGGGGTAACCAGAAGGTCAAGGCGGTGGCAATGAGAAAGCGGGGCTGGGTGGGTGAAAAGAGAAGGAGAAGGAGTGGAAACAGCAAAGTTTTTGCTGAACTTCCTGCGATGCTTGTTTTTTTTTTGCGGGGGGGGAGCGAGTGGCACAGCACTTACTCAGCACTTCCAAGCGAGACACGTCTCCCCACACCACCACCCACCCTGGCCCATCTTTCTTACCTGCGTAATGGTCAAAGACGGTGGGCACATACTCCTCCGGGAAGGCGTCGTTGGCATAGCTCATGAGCAGGCAAGTTTTGCCCACCGCTCCGTCTCCGACCACCACGCATTTCAGCATGACCGTCGCCCCCGTCCCATTGGCCATGATGCTTCCAAGCAGATCGTCATTTTTTTTTAAAAAAATGTCTGTATATGTCTATATTAAATACAATGAAAGGTTTCACACGCCGAGCGGAGAAGGCGACGATTCTTGTACATTACCCAGCCAGGAGCGTTGTAGTGTCTGTGGCCGGCGGGGCTCGCTCGGTCGCTTTCAGCAGGCGCCGCAAATCACTGAAGATGGCATTTCCCCCCCCCACCCCCCGGTCCAGTGCCAAATTTGGCTCTCAGGGATTTTCCTCCCGCTCGCCCCAGCTGGGCACGATGACACAGTGTCTCATAAGACTGGCCGCCCGAGCGGAACGGGAACTTTGAGCAGCAAAGCCCGCACCACTTTCGTCCGCCGCCTCCAGGATTCCAAACTGCTTCCCATGTGCTGTGTAAACCCCCCCTTCCGCGAGAAAAACCCCCACGGAGTAGGGGAGAAAGACAGGCCCGGTCGCACGGCGGAGCAAGTGCGGTCCCACTGTACTTTCCGGCTTCCCTTCCCCCAATTTGTCCAGGCTTCAGACACCACTTCTCCAAAATAGGGAGGGGAGGGGGGAGCCAGCCCTGCAACCTCAGACTAGCTTGAGAGGAGAAAAGGAGGAGCAACGCCAAATAGCTAAAGAGCCGCTCAGGGCTCCTCTCCAAAGAGCCTACAGCGCCGAGAAACGTTCACAGCTTTTGCAAACCGCCTCCTCCCCTTGTCTTGGATGATGTAATCAATAAATACTAATAACGGAACATGTTTCCTGTGGATTTCACAGCGGGTGGTGGTGGGGAATCAGATCAATAGATAGATATTATTTGAGCATCGTGATTTCGTTATTTTGTTTGCTGGAAAGAGGGATACCTTGGATAGAGTGTAAAAAGATACATGTATGGAAACATATTTTTAATATCTTAAAATGAAAAGAAGGCATAGATAATCTGTAGGAATGGAAAACTAAAATCTGAAACTACCCATAAATGTTCCTAAATTAAAACAGCGAGAGGATCTGGTATTAAAAATTGTGTTCCGTCTTTGAATCTGTCACTTTTCATCAATCCTGGAGAGCGCAGGACAATATTTCTGATGTTTCTTCTCTTTTATTACCTCGAACAAGTCATTAGCCTGACGGTATATGCGTGACCCAAAGCAATCCCGGGGCTGAATGGGAAATATGCAATATGCTCCAGTTGGTGCCTGGAGTTCTCCCACTAGTATAAGTTGATCTCCGGACAACCAAAATTAGTTCCCCCGGAGACAACGGCTGCTTGGAAGGGCGGGCTCTACGGCATTATACTCTGCTGAAGTCCCTCCCCAAACTCTGCCCTCCACAAGCTCCACCCCCAAAATCTCCAGGTAATTTCCCAACCCTATGCCCAGCTCTCCCCAAGATATGTCCTTCACTCTGCACTCTAGGCTTGGCAGGTCCCCAGCATCCAAAACCCTGAGGGCAGGGCTTGTTGAAGCCACATTCAGCAGCAATATTAGCAGCCATGCTTCCATACACAGCTAGAAATTGTACCATATGGCATCTAGGAATGTGCACACTCATAATCATGTGGCTTTGAAGTGACACATACAGGGTTTTGTTTTTTTAAAAAAAAGCATAGAACCATGTGCTAACATAAAATGTAGTCGAGTTGATAGAGCCAGATTATTGCCTGCCATCGCCAACCTGCCTGTGCAGCAGTTTCTGCAAGCACAAAGGCATCTTAAAAGAAGCCAAGCCATCAACAACCATTCAAGCTAGCTGATGGTCCTGAGATTTTAGCCTGCTGCCCTGAGCCCTTGAGAAAATGAGCTCCAAAACCTGAGCCTGGGGCCAAAGCCAGAGCCAGAGACCTGGCAATCCTGTTTCACTGCACTGCAGTGGCTTTTAACGGATGCCCTGTATTGACTGTCGCAAGTGACACACTCCAGACTTAAAGGCATCTGTTGTGAACCAGAATCAGGCTGATTCTGGAGAATGCGGGATATATATCTTTTAAGATGTAATGTAGTATAATATTTTGTCAGCCAAACTGCACAGTATTCTCAGCGGCCACCATGTTACTGGTTGCCAAGGCTGGGACACAAACAATGAGAAGGGTGGGGCCACTCCACGAACAGGCATCTTGGTGGAAAGTGGACAGTGCCGTCAAGTCGCAGCCGACTTATGGTGCCCCACAGGGGTCATTTCGTAGAAAAAGAGCTAGGGGAACTCATTAGCATAACTCATTAGTATATGCCACACCCCCTGACATCACTGGAAATGTGTCATAAGGCCACACCTCCTAGGGTTTGCATGGCAAGAGATGAAGTGAGGTGGTTTGCCATTGCCTCCCCCTGTGTAGCAACCCTAGACTTCGTTGGTAGGGATGCCGGCCTCCAGGTGGGACTGGGGGATCCCTTGGAAATACAGATCATCTCCAGGCTACAGAGATCAGTTCCGATGGAGAAAATGGATGCTTTGGAGGGTGGACTCTATGGCATTGTACCCACTGAGGTCCCAGTGCTCCCCAAGCTCCCTCCCCAAATCTCTAAGAATTTCCCACCCTGGGTCTGGCAACCCTATTCCCCATGCCCTGCTACTGGCCACAGGGGACCTGGCAACCTTGGCTAGCCCAATCTTGATAGATCTTGGAAGCTAAACAGCACTGGTGGATGGGATAATACTAAGGAAGTCTACGGTTGCCGTGCAGAGGCAGGCAATGGCAAACCACCTCTGTTCATCTCTTGCCTTGAAAACCCTACCAGGTTGCCATACATTGGCTGCGAATTGATGACACTTTCCACCACCACATAGAAATAAGAAGGTCTACTTGGAATCCTACTCTGTTTCATTCAATGTGGCTTACTCCCAGGAAAGAGTTCTTAGATTTTATATCAGGGCTTCAGTGTCCTTCATTTCTGTCTACTCTGCCCTCCCCAAAATCTTCTATACTATGGAAACTATTAGAGACATGCCCTGGATATTACCTAATCTAATAAATAAACAAAATACATTTTTAATGTCATATTATGCTAGAAATAGACACATTTGGTTGTATCAGTAACTATTCTAAACTCTTCCTTATTCTGGTGCCTAGATACCTGGTTTAGAGTTCTCTGAGGGAGAAGGAGAGGAGACAAGGCAGGTCAGGGGTCCCCAACCTTTTTAAGCCTGTGGGCACATTTGAAATTCTGACACAATATGGTGGGCGCAGCAGCAAAATGGCTGCCACAAAATGGCTGTTGCAAGAGGCAGGCCAGTGACTGACACAGCTTAGCTTCAGTTACACCGTCTAGACCTTTGTGCTGTGGTGGCAGCTGCTGCCAAAGCAGATTTTTAAAAAAATCTGCGCAGCCAATCAAATCTCTGATAGTCAATCAGAAGCCTTGCTGAGGGAAAGCCCCACCTGGCCCCACCCACTTCTTGCTCCAGAAAAGATGTCAGCAGGCACCATGGCACTCATGGGCACCACGTTGGGGACTCCTGAGGTAGGCGATATAGAAGCATTCCTCCTCCCCTCCCCTGCTTGCTATGCAGGCTGGGGCTAGTTGTGGGGGTTGCCATGGCAGGGAAATAGCCTGGTCCAATAGACAGAGAATGGCCCCAGTCACACTAGGGGGAAAGGCACGGCTGAAGTGTGGGGATCAAAAGAGAAGCGTGGCTGCGGGATCAGACAGATCCCCCCAGCCGCCACGCAGTTCCTCCCCGGCATGATCAGATGCCGGGGGGAAGCCACGGACTGGAGAGCGAGGCGAGCCTGCTGCGCATGCACATGCACGCGCAGTTTGGCAGGACCTCGCTGCGGGAGAGACAGGTGCGTCGGCGATCAGACGCCTGCCCGTGCTGCGTGGCAACCGGTAGGTAGTGCTGTTTTGCTACTACCTTTTTGAGCCACGTCTTCGCCTGGAAGGGACGGATCGGGGACGGGTGCATGCCGCTTCCCAGATGTTGTGGTATGATCGCGCCTGCTTGATGCGCCCCCAATCTGTCCCTCCCATGGGGCAAATCCTCCCGTGTGACCGGGGCCAATGTCTACCCTGCCCCAGCACCTCTTTCTAATATGTCTCAAGGACCATGGTTCTCTGAACTTCAGAGCATTCTGGGAAATACAATTCCAGGTTCACTGAGGCACTGTCGGAATGGACACAAGAAGTGCTATAGAAATGTGGTAAAAAATTGCTTGTGCTTTGCTGGCCTGGACCAACCCATATTGGCCCCCAGGCTGGGCTAGCACCAGTGGCTACAGTAGCCCCTGCCTCAGTACCAGCCTACACAGTAAAAGTGAAGAAGACAGGAGGAAAATTAATAGAACAGCAATAAGAAATAGGATTCATAGTCATAACAAAAATGAATGCAGCTTTTTTTTTGAAAAAAACCCAAAAATAAACATGATCATAAAATGTGTGCATCTTTAGCAAACATTCTCCTCACATTAGCAGTGCCTCCATTGTTCCCTCAAATTGGGAACATTGCAAATGACAAGAAACATCAGAAATGATAAGAAACAGCCATTATATTTTCTGTGCTCCTAATTTTCATGAGCAGTGAGGAGGAAGGAATTCAGTGCTACTAGTGCAACATGGATTGGCTTCCCCAGAAGAAGCAGCTATGCTGGAGAGACATCCCTCCCTACTTGCCTATTTATTTTATCTATTTGGTACCTTGTTATCCTGCCCATCCTCCAAGTCACTCTTGTTTTCTGTGTATCTCCCATTCTATCATCACAACAACCCTGTGAAGTAAGTTAGGCTGTGATGGAGTGACTGGTGTCACCCATCAAACTCCTTGGTACAGCAGGGATGTGAACTGGGGTCTCTCATGTTCTAGTCTGACACCATACTGGCTGCTGTCAGAGTTTCCCTTAGAAAGCTAGCATTTCCCCTGTCACTATATGGCCCCTGTTGCTGAGGACGCTTTTTAGCACCCATTTCCCCACAAAGAGATATCACCGCATTGCTGCTGATCCGGGGGTGGGGGAATCCCTCTCTCTTTGACTCAGTTCCCCACCAGTTGCCACCACCACTGTGGCAACTGCCCCCTCCTTTCCCCACAAGAGTGCAGCATTTGGTGCCCCTGACAGGAAAGGGCAAAAAGGAGATGAGGCTAGGGTTGCCATCTCTGGGTTGGGAGGTACCTGGAGATGTTGAGGGTGGAGCCTGAGGAGAGCAGGGTTTGAGGAGGGGAGGGACTTCCATATGGCATAGTGCCAATAGAGTCCACCTTCCAAAGTGGCCATTTTCTCCAGGCAAACCGATCTCTTTTGCTTGGCGATCAGCAAGAGCTAGACAGCCACCACCCGGAGGCTGGCCAACCCTAGATGACGCTGACATTCCTGTACCAGAAATTGCTATTTAGGAGTAAAAGCTGGTCAATTTGACTTTTTAAAAAATCAAGAACACTTTGCCCATCCAGTGCCAGGGCAAGGCTGCTCATGTGACATAATTTGATTTTGAATTTTAATGACATTTAAAATATTTTCCCATCCTTCTTTACTGCTGTAAATCTGGTACAGTTTCCAAGCAAGAGAGAGAGAGAGAGATTAAATTGGCAACTCTCTTGAACAGAGAATATAGCCTTGTACTGA